TTTTTTCGTTCCACTTCTGACACCAATTTTAACGTCTCAGTTCGTTAGTTTATTTTCCGTAACTTCGTTCCGACGAAACTTTAGCGACACAAGTCCTTACTTTATAAAACTGGTTTCTTCTTTCCGAATACAACTTTACGATACACTTATTTTCAACAGTCGCGCTATAACAAACGCTATATCTCAGGTGGCCAACAATATTTTGTCTGCATACATTCAATTACTCATTACACTGTTGTCCCGTCATGTTGTGAGCGTCTTATATATATATATACCAGACTAACAAATATCTAGTAAATGCTAGGGCATTCACGAATGAACAGGATATTTCTAGAAAACGTAGAGTGACACTAGTCACGTGACCTCGCTGACGCAACAATATGTACTTGCAAGTTTCACTGTCAGCAAAAAAGAAGCAACTGGCATTAAAAGAATAAACGTAATTTACAAAACATTGATGTTTTTGTTATTATTGACTGATATAGAGAAAATACTCTTTATTTCAATATTTTAACGATTTTTCGCACTGTTGAAATTTCACCATAAAATCGAACGTTGTTATTACACGGAAATTTATTTCGCAGTGCAATCGATCAGCTTCTTTTATTAACTAATGATTCGTTTCAAGTTGACACATGCAACCAGACCGTGAATAATGCACGTGTATGCTGATGGAGACAGAGGGCCGTGTCACGTGTGTCTGTCGGCAGGCGTGTGTAATAAATACACTTGTAAAGAAGTGTAAGTAGAAAACACATATTTGCAACTTATGTAGCATGGAGAACTGAAGGCAACGGAACCAACTGCTACCGTGAGTATGTATTAGACAATAACTGTTCTCATTCGAGCATTTATTTGTAGTTGTATAGTCACGTGACATGCTGTATCTCGAGATCAATAAAGTTTCCAGGATAAAGCTTTTGACTTCCTCTATTTTTTTAGTGTTGAACGAATACAGAGAAACGTAGAACTTTCAGAATGATAACTTATACTTTATGGTTTTGATTTAATTTAATTTAATTCTTCAATAACATAAATTCTAAAAATAAAAAACCCTCTCGGAAGTGACGACATTCAATCTTCAAAGAAAAGTATTCGTAAGTTGTTTAATATTTATGGAAATACAGTCTGAACTTGTTCTTCATTAAAGATAAACCTTCATGTGTTGACGCACTGTTTCAATTTGTAGATAAATCTCAATTAAAAAACGAAATACTGCCTAATCATAATGTGCGTTTGTATCTAACTTATATACTAAAATAAACCACTTTGTAATTTTTTACTTTTTATAGATAATTTGACTAGAAATATTAATTCTAGTTAGATATTTTTTAGATTTTTGCTCTTAGAAGATTTAACTGTAAATTGATTTAGCTTGAATAGTTTTGGTCCAAGATGTTGCTGTAGTTTCACACTTTTTGGATAATTGTACTAGAAATATTTTATTGTAGTTTAACTGTAAATTGACTCAGATTGAATAGTTTTGTTCCAAGACGTTGCTGTAGTTTCACACTTTTTGGATAATTGTACTAGAAATATTTTAGTGTAGTTTAACTGTAAATTGACTCAGCGTGTGAAACTACAGCAACATCTTGGAACAAAACTATTCAATTTTTGGATAATTGTACTAGAAATATTTTAGTATAGCTTCAAACTTTTCTTCTATAATTTTACTACTGTAGTTTCAAATTTGTTTTTGATGACTTTTAGTCAAAGATTTTGCTGTAGTTTCAAAAAATAAAACAGATACACCTGTCCTGGTAGTTTCTACGTAAGTAGGCTTACCACACGACATAGACATCTGATCTAATAGTTTCTATATAAGTAGGCTTACTACACGACACAGAGACTCCTGACCTAATGGTTTCTACGTAAGTTATGGGTGCTAATTACGCTGCCTCTGTGCCACTGCATGAGCATTTACAAACTGTTCCTATAAAGATTGACGAGCTCTCCACAGAACAGTAACTTTGTTTCCCGAAAATCAACATTATTATAACGACTCACAGTTAGTAGCTTTTGTGATTTCCACTTCAAACCTGTCTTTCTTCGTTAGGTAACAAAAACTACAGTAACTCATGGTCAGTCTCTTATTCTTGACATTAACCAAGAAACGTTTACATGACAAACATCCAAGCCCACACGCAAAGAGAGTAATATGGTCTGCTAACCAGTTAACAACCACTATTGCATCTCTTGTTACTCAACAATTGAAAGTGCTGGTAACGCTTTACGTCTATAACCAGCTCGGCGTGGATGGTGTTGTCATGGAAACAGTTTCCCCCAATACTAGGAAGAAATGTTATTACTTTGTTGTTACAGAACCTCGACAGAGAATGCTTTCCCGCGGTGCTTCACGTGTGCATTATTTACAAACGAGAAGGACATATGAATATGATTAAATTTTTTGTTGCCCCTCTCTTTCCTATTCAAACCAGCATCTACTCCGACTAATTCCCCTCTCAATACATATGTACAAGTGTTGAAGAAACGTCAGTAAAACTAATGAATTTTTTAAATATCTTACACATTTCCTACTAAAGCTAAACTTTCTCTATATGTGATCCTGGCTTGGCACAGCCTAGTCAATAACGTGCGTGGACTGTGAATCCAAATAAACTCTTCCTTATAAGTGATCCTGGCTTGTCATAGCCTAGTCAATAACGTGCGTGGACTGTGAATCGAAATAAACTCTTCCCTATAAGTGATCTTGGCTTGGCATAGCCTAATCAATAACGTGCGTGGACTATGAATTCAAATAAACTCTTCCCTATAAGTGATCTTGGCTTGGCATAGCCTAGTCAATAACGTGCGTGGACTGTGAATCCAAATAAACTCTTCCCTATAAGTGATCTTGGCTTGGCATAGCCTAGTCAATAACGTGCGTGGACTGTGAATCCAAATAAACTCTTCCTTATAAGTGATCCTGGCTTGTCATAGCCTAGTCAATAACGTGCGTGGACTGTGAATTCAAGGCTTCATGTGACTTCTTGACACAAACACACAATCTACACTTTGGGGTCGTAAGTGCACTGAAGTGTCCCACTCCCAGTATTCAATCACACAAGAATTGCCCAAAATTTGACTGTGGGTGTTATTAACTAGCTGCCTTCCCTCTAGCTTAGTAGTTTTTGGTATACAAATAATCTTAAGAATTTGACCCTTCTCTTTCTTTTCCTGTACAGTTCACCTAAAGATGGTTAGAAAGTTATTGTGTCTTATCAAGTATATTATCTAAATTTTTCGAAAGTTGATGATGTAAGACAAACGTTCATGCAAGTAAGCAGAATAATAAAATGAAAAACTCAGCACGCATTATCTGTCTGGCCTTTTTTTCCGGATTTATTCGATTCTAAGATTTAAAACCAAATGATCGATCAACATCTACTTGGTTTCTCTCATTTCGTTTCTTTAATCTGACAGAGTTTCTTTCTTCACTTACTTTGTGTTCTCTACAGTCTTTCTTTCTCATATGTTTGGCACTCTCTTTCCTTTTTGCACTCTTTTTCATTTTGTTCACTTTTCATTCTTTGTCATATAATGTTTCCTTCCTTCACTCACTTAATTTTCAATTCTTTCTTGTCTTTGGAAAACGTTTCTTTAGTTCTTACTTTGCACCCTTTCGTTTCTTTGTCATCTGTCTGGTAGAAGTTATTTCTCTCTCTCATTCTCTTAGTGTTCTTCCTAGTCATCTGTCTGATAGAGGTTCTTTATCTCTCTCATTCTCTTAGTGTTCTTCTTAATCATCTGTCTGATAGAGGTTCTTTATATCTCTCATTCTCTTAGTGTTCTTTCTAGTCATCTGTCTGATAGAGGTTCTTTATCTCTCTCATTCTCTTAGTGTTCTTCCTAGACATCTGTCTGATAGAGGTTCTTTCTTTCTCTCATTCTGTTAGTGTTCTTCCTAGTCATCTGTCTGATAGAGGTTCTTTATCTCTCTCATTCTCTTAGTGTTCTTCCTAGTCATCTGTCTGATAGAGGTTCTTTATCTCTCTCATTCTCTTAGTGTTCTTCCTAGTCATCTGTCTGATAGAGGTTCTTTATCTCTCTCATTCTCTTAGTGTTCTTCCTAGTCATCTGCCTGATAGAGGTTGTTTCTTTCTCCCATTCTCTTAGTGTTCTTCCTAGTCATCTGTCTGATAGAGGTTCTTTATCTCTCTCATTCTCTTAGTGTTCTTCCTAGTCATCTGTCTGATAAGGTTTCTTTCATTCTTTCCTACTTAGTGCTTTTTCTTTAACCTGTCTAACATAGTTTATTTCCTTCTGTCAATATCCACACTTTTCTTTCGCTCTTTCATTTTTGCACTCTTGTTTTGTAAAAAGCACTATAAGAAGACAGTTTCGGATTACAAATAGTATTTATTTGAAATTCCAGGAATGCAGTCAGTGGTGTTTGCACATAAATCACAAACTCAAATAAGAAATGAATCAGGAGCTATATAAATGTCGCATCCAGCCTTTAATATAGCACTTAAACATTATGTTAATAATACATAGTTACAGCCTTAATACCAGTAATGAACTTAATAAATTATATCCAATAAATCTTCATAAACTTAGTTACTTATAAAGAAACTTCTCACTGGAAAGCTGTGATTTCGACTGACTGCTGTTGAAACCTTCCCAGCATTTACACAGAATTTGTCTTACTTATTGACATCCAGTATGTGGCTACGATTTATGCAGCAACCAAACTGAGGTCAAGGGCTGTTGTTCTCATGAGCTCAGTAGCTCAAGGTTACTGATGCACATCCTTAAATGCATATATTCACTTGCCGCGTGCTTAATGATGTTTTTATTCTGACTTAATATGACTATTTGTCACTTGCCACGTGCTTACTGATGTCTTTACTCTGATTTCATATGACTATTTGTCACTTGCCACGTGCTTACTGATGTCCGTACTCTGACTTCATATGACTATTTGTCACTTTTCAGGTGCTTACTGATGTCTTTACGCTGACTTCATATGACTATTTGTCACTTGCCACGTCATTACGGATGTCTTTACTCTGACTTCATATGACTATCTGTCATTTGCCACGTACTTACTGATATCTTTACTCTGACTTCATACGACTATTTGTCACTTGCCACGTGCTTACTGATGTCTTTACTCTGACTTCGTATGACTGTCACTTGCCACATGCTTACTGATGTCTTTACTCTAACTTCATATGACTATTTGTCACTTGCCGCGTGCTTACTGATGTATTTACTCTGACTTCATATGACTATTTGTCACTTGCCACGTGCTTATTGATGTATTTACTCTGACTTCATATAACTATTTGTTTCCTAATTTACATCAAGCTAGCTATCTGACTTATTACTAATCACGAGTTAAGGGTCTGTCATTACTTTTCTTCACAATTAGTCTGACCTCATGACATCACTTGTCTCCTAAATTTACTTTAGGCTTGTTATTAACCACAAGTTAATGACGTGATTAGTTTTCCTGACAATTTGGTGTAGAGTTATGAATTTTCATGCAAGTTTGATACTTTCTTTTCTCTGTTCTTTTGTAGATGGCTTAAGTAGAGTCTTCACGATACTAAGGTAACATCGAACACCACGACTGTAAGGTTTCGATTCTAATAAGTTACCAACCAACACCTTATGCATCACAAAGAGTGCTGTTGATTTCTACATCAAAAAGGTTCTGTACTTATCATTTAGAAGGAAAGAGAGTTCTGTTTTGTTTCTCTCTCTCTTCTGTCAACCCTGGAACTTTAATGAGCTACTTCGATTGTTTTTATGCCTTTAGGGATTTGTCTCTGTTATGTTGTTGAAATTAGTGGTCCATAGAATGAAAGAGTTAATAATGTGGACACTAACATGTTTGATTAGAGAAAACAAAGCTATATCCCATTATTCTAAACCCTCTATATAAAAGTATTATTCATATGTTAATTAAGCGTAAATTTTCTTCGTATCACAAAGGAGTAATATAAATTAGGTAGGTTGAAATATTTGTTTTTTACTGTTTAGCATTTTGAAAAATCGTTTTGATAAAATTGAAAGAAAAGGTAATTAGCCTTGGATAACTTTATTTTTAATCCAACGATTGATGTTTAATTGTTTAACTAGAAACGTTAACTTTCGGTCACTATTTCTCAGATATGTAATACAAAACTGCTTTTTTTTATCACGGCTCTTGGTTGATGAAACAAAATTTACCTGCATTGTGCAATATGATGCCACATTGTTGTACTGTACCGTATTACGTTGCACTGTTTTACTGTACAGTGTGGTTATATTGTTGTTCTGTAGAGTTTACGTTACACTGACTTACTGTACAGTATGATGTTATATTGCTGTAAAGTACAGTATTACATTACACTGACTTACTGTACACTATGATGTTATATTGTTGTAAATTACAGTATTACGTTACACTGACTTACTGTACAGTATGATTTTACATTGTTGTAAATTACACTATGATGTTATATTGTTGTACTGAACAGTATGGTGTCACATTATTGTACTGTATAGTATGATGTTATAATATTGTACTGTGCAGTGTGATGTTATATTATTGAACTGTACAGTATGATATTATAATATTGTACTGTGCAGTGTGATGTTATATTGTTGTACTGTACAGTATGATGTTATATTTTTCTACTCTACGGTATGGTGTTATGGTGTTATATTGTTCTACTCTACGGTATGATGTTACATTGTTGTAAAGTACAGTATTACGTTACACTGACTTACTGTACAATATGATGTTATATTGTTCTACTCTACGGTATCGTGTTATATTGTTCTACTCTACGGTATGATGTTATATTGTTCTACTCTACGGTATGATGTTATATTGTTCTACTCTACAGTATGATGTTATATTGTTGTATTGTACAGTATGGTGTTATATTGTTGTATTCTACAGTAAGATGTTATATTGTTGTAAAGTACAGTATTACGTTACATTGATTTACTGTACAGTATGATCTTACATTGTTGTAAATTACAATATGATGTTATATTGTTGTACTGAACAGTATGGTGTTATATTGTTGTATTGTACAATATGATGTTATATTGTTGTATTGTACAGTATGATGTTAGATTTTTGTAAAGTACAGTATTACATTACTCTGACTTACTGTACACTATGATGTTATGTTGCTGTAAAGTACAATATTACGTTACTCTGACTTACTGTACACTATGGTGTTATGTTGCTGTAAAGTACAGTATTACGTTACACTGACTTACTGTACAGTATGATTTGACATTGTTGTAAGTTACAGTATGATGATATATTTTTTTACTGTACAGTATGATGTTATATTGTTGTACTGTACAGTATGATGTTATTTGTTGTACTGTACACTATGATGTTATAATGAGTAGCTGTAATACATTGTGTAACCTCCAGTGTTGTACTAGTACAGTGCAGTGGTACTAGTTGTTGTAAGACAGTCTTTTATTTCACGTTATGTACAACACCATAGTGCAATGGTTCCAGTAGCTTTAAAATAGTTTATCTGTACTATAACACAGTGCAGTGGTCCTCCTACGTATATTACTTTTTTAATTACTACAAAATTATACAGTGTTATTAGTGGTGGTGAAAAAATCTGACAGGTTATGTCTTGTACTACGTAAATGCATTGGTTTTAGTCATTATAAGACAGTCTTTAACCTTAGGTTTTGCACTCAAGCACAATGCAATGGTCTTAGTGAGGTCAAACATTCTTTACCCTCTGGTTTTGTAGTACACTGTGGTTCTAGTAGTTGTAAGACTGTCTTTAACCTCGCGTTTTGCACTAAAACACAATGCAATATCCTAGTGGAGTGAAAAAATCTTTAACCTCAGGATTTGTACTACAGTATGTGTCTGGTAGTTGTAAAACTGTCTTTCACCTCAGATTTTGCATTGTACAATACGTTGATATGTTGTAACGGTAACAGTATGATGTTACATTGTTATATTGCGCAATAAGACGTTATATTACCGCAATGCATTGTGACAATCGTCAAGTTTGATATCAACTGTTATGTTTGAAATTCTTAAAATCTGTCTATCTATCGAGCACATATGGTTTATATACATTGTACTATTTGCTTGCCTACTGATCAGAGTGTGAGGTGTTTCTATATTACTGTGTTTGAAGTTCTTAAAATCTGCCTGTCTAGCGATCAATAAATTTGATAATCTTAAGACCTGCATGCTATTGATCAAATTGTGGGTTGTGTTTATACTGTTGTTTTGGTATTTTAGGCTACGGGAGTATATCGAAGAGAACGAAAGAACTGACCCCTTAATCCACGCTCCCGACAAGAAAAATAATCCTTGGGCAGAAAAAGGAAAATGTCTCATCATGTAGCCTGAACTTCGTGTAATCTAACTCCTTAACGAACTTCACTCCTCTTCAGCCAAAGACTATTTCATATCCCGTGTCGTTTTAACCCTCGTATATTGAAATCTTTTATCAACTTTTGTTTGAACCTATTTAGCTACGAAACTAAGGCTGGAAAAAAAGTTTCACCATCGTTTTTGACCTCAAAACTAAACTTCAAATTATTCATCAGTTGTTGTTGTTGTTTTTTGTAATGTATTGTCAACAATGGAAATATAACATCGAAATGCCTTTCTCCAAAAACAAAAGACAGTAGTGTTTATTTGTCTTCTAATATACACAAGTTTTCAAACTAATAACAAGATTAGTAAAAAATTTTAATTTAAAAAGGGAGGTATAGGGATCGTCAAAAAGTACAGACACAAGTTGAATCAAAACACAGAGATTATGTTTTCAAGTCTACAACTAGGGACTCTCAAAAAAGTCTGGAAATAGTGTTTACATTATTTTATCAAGCTAAAAATCCCTATTTTGACTCCGCTAAAATTGAAAAGTACTGTAGATATGGAGTCGAAATAAAGACTTGTAACTTGAGAAAATAATGTAAGCCTTGTTTGTTTACTTTTTAGAGTCCCTAGTTGTATGTTTGAAACATAATCTTTGCATTTTGATTCAACTTTTTTTCTGTACTTTTTGACAATTTCTATTTCCTTTTTTATGTCTATTTATATCTTAAGCTACATACATGCAACTGCGTTCCGTTGAATGTTACATGTTTTTCAACAGCTTGCTGCTGCATTGGTTTTTCTCCACCCAACTATTCAAGTGGCTTCGTGCCTGAGGTGTCATGAAAATGCCGAGTACAATGGCGGACATTCTGTACTTGAATGGCTTTGAAGAGAAACTTGACCAATAGCGATGGAAAATTTGATAAAATCTCTCCTTCTCTTTCAAGAATCAACATAAAAATAGTCCTAAGGCCTGCGAAGTTTGAGTAAGATAGTCATAGCCGTTTTTTGTGTAGGCTTGTGAAACAAGAATAATACGAATGATATGAAGAACAAATAGATGGATTTTGTCTAACAATCGGAAAATCAACTTTTCTCTACTATCAGTATTTTAGTAGTCATAGCCATTGAGGTAGAAGATCTTGAGTGTTGTTTTTTAAGATGATTTTTGCCCGTATCTTCTATTAGTTTTGAGCAAATTCCTGGGCGAACCCTATTATGAACCACTATCGTGGTTGGTGATAAAATCACTCTAGCTTATAATTTGTACTTATTTCATTTGTATAACAAATTATTATCCCATACCTAAAAGATATCCAAAACTTTCTTATTTGTGAATTTTCTAACCCTGGGAGCATGCGCGCTGGAGTTTCTCGAATTATCGGGGAACCCCACGAATGCCCGAGTGTTTGCTAGACGCCCTCTTTTTTGAGTATATAAGCCTGGCAAAGAAAACCAGCGATATAGATAGATAACTAAAGAAGCGAACAGTAGTGACGGTAAATAAAGTGTGTGAAGCACTGTGATTTATAGCGTGTATTATAAAAGTTGTTAAGTTTAAATTGACGAGAAACGTATTAACTGTGGAAATTCTGTGTACTAAAAGTTTGTATCGAGGAAAAATAAACTGGTTTAATTAAGAAAGGATTTGTAGCGCTGAAGTTCCTCGGAAATAATTTCTACCGAATTACGCAGATACGTAACACTATCTTATTATTTAATATTCTCCAAATGCACTACTTGTAGCGCTGATTTCTAAGTATAATTTGATGTTAACTATTCAATTAGTCTTTCTAAGGGTCGTTGAATATATTCGAATATATGTAAAATATGATACAATGTACAGACTTGATGTTATTGATTAAATAAAATGTTGTTTTACACTACTTCACTTAGTTCTAGCTATAGAAATAATTGACTAGTTAGTCCTAACTATAAACAGTCACATACTACCGGATAAATTAAGTTACTGAATACATACCAAATTATAAAGAAACAGTTTAAACTGTTTTTCATAGTCCTAGCTATAGAAATAACGGACTGGTTAGTCCTAACTATAAACAATCACATACTACCAGATGCATTAAGTTACAGATTACATTACCAAATATAAATAAATATTTGACACAATTGATGTCAGCTATGTTTTTGTTGGGTTTTTTAAGTTGTAATTTGTTTGTTAGTAGAAGAAGCTGGGGTCGTCGATGATAATACTAAGTTAGGGAAATTAAAATGGCCTAGAGCTTCTAGATACAACTTTTTCTAGAGGTATGACTTAAGGTTCTGGTACATTTGGACGTAGATTATTTAACTACGTTCTGTGAAGTGTTAGTGGAAGTTAGATTGAAAGTGAAGTTGTTGTGAAAGTGATTTTAGAGAGAATGAACCACTTAACAACATTTGGTGTCAGGAGTGGAATTATTTAGTGAAAGTAAAATAGAAGTACAATAGAACTGGGACTAAATTTCAATGTTGAAAATGACAACCATGATGCCAATTAGTGAAAATCCAAGCATTTATTGAGATGATGAAAATATTAAAACAAGAGGAAGAAAGAGTAGGAAATTAAAAGAAGACCGTGAAGAAAGGGACAGGAACTTAAAAGAAAAAATATGCTATGTTTAAAGAAGAATTAAAATAAATCAGATTGAAGAAAAGACTGATGAAATTATTTGAGATGTACAGAAACTTTATAAAAATAAGATTGAAGAAATATGGAAAGTCTGTAATAAAAAATTACCAAGTCAGAAGTGAAGGAGAGAAAGACATCAACAATATAGAAAATAACACTGGTGAAATAACGAAACATCTGGAAACGAATTATTAAATGCAAAGTGTAAACCAGCCACACTTCTTTGTACATTTCCTGAAGAGTTCCAACTGAAACATCACATTTTACCAGATATTGTATAGGAGAACTTAGTCTACAACTATCACCACTACTGTTGTACCATCTGTTACTGGACTTTCTGGACGGCCCCAGCTATGACATTACCAAATCCAGTTCCATAGTATAGCTGGTTAATTCAAATCAAGAAATTGACAGCTTATGATTAGAAGGTACCATGGGAGTCACTCGAGGCTAAGTTTGAAATCACTTTTAGAGTGAACAGGTGGTATAGTTAACAACAAGTGTCCATTTAAAAGGAGCAACTTTGGCAACATTAAGTAACCTTCCAGCTGAGTGCCGTAACAACTAGCATAAATTGGTAGCCACCTTGTCCAATAGGTTTTGAGTGGTTCATCAGAAAGAAGTATCAAGAGCAAAGTTATAGAGCAGGGTTTAGAGGAAATAAGAGATCTTAGCCGACCTTGCAGAAGACTTACAAGGACTTGCCCAGCTATCCTACCCAGATGTTTCTTGTGAGGTGATGGACTCGTTTGAATATGACCAATATACTGATGCCATAACAGACGAGGATATGATGATTACACGAAGCATAGTAGATATACCTCTTTAAAGGTAGCTCTGCAGTTGGTGAAGGAACAGTAATCCACCAAAGTTACAGATTAGATACTAATGGATCCACGGGGGTCATCTAGAAGCTACAGAAATATTACAGCTTGTAATATTGAAAAACTCAGCTACTCCTAATGATAATCTAGAATAACTGGAATGATTAATCAGACCAATAGTTACACAAAATAGAGGAAAGAAACCACAACACGATAGATGCTTCAAGTGTCACTTGATGTGATATATTCCCTGGAACTGCTGGAAAAGGGCTGCATGGAATAAGAATCCCTACAGAGGGATACTAGGAAGAGGTAACTATTATAATTGTTGGAGATATGGCCATAACAGCCGACGCTGTGAGGAATCAACAGTTGGGAATTCTGCATCTATCTTAAACCAGAGAGGGAAATCATTCCAACGTCCGCAGACATATTAATGGAAAACCTTGCAGCATTCTGATTAACACCGATTACACAGCTACAATTGCTCATTCTGATTTTTAATGAAAAATTGGAAATTGTTTCCAAAGATGAGAAACGAAAGGGAATCGGTGAAAACAACAGGTGAACACGAAGTTTCAGGAAAAGATAATTTTCTAGGAATCTTCTCTACACTTCATGATGTGTCGGTAATTGACATTGAAGAAAACGGAGATATGAATGTGAAAGTATGTTATCTTCAGATATCTTCGCAGTCAGTGGTTAGGAAATTCTTATGGTCTAATTTTCATTTACTACACCAGAGGTTGTTTGTCCACTAGAAATAGGAATGGCTGTTATTGCACCATCAATAAGTGAAATATGCATACCAGGAGTTATTAACAACAATTCTTCATCTAAATGACTGAGGCAAAGTGGAACCAAATAATACTTTGGCATGTCCTGAGGACTTGGTGGTTGGGAGACTCGTTCGTAGATGTGAAGAATAAAGACGTACATGGGTTCACCCAGAAAAAAGACTTCAATCACCTGGTGATAGAAAAAACGGTAACTATGGCGTAAATGTAAATAAAACTGAATATAAAAGCAACATGGCATGGCTGAACAGTTCTTGCCATAAGAGAATACAAACTCCAAAGCTAAGTAGATTTCACCATCGTGATCATTTTTAGATATACATCTTTTAGAGAATAGCAACTGAAGAAATCCAGAGAAGAACTTTCCAGCAGAATTTAAATTTTCCGAACAGCTGGAACTCCTCCCAAGATTGCTTCTAGAGGATCATGAAGAATAGAGCCACCAGTGGATTCATCTGACTACCTACTCAGGATGAACTTAGGACAGCCAGTGACAACAAGGGACAAGACACCAGTCCATGGGCTTTGGAAGATAAAACCATCAAAATGACTTTATAAATTAACATTTTAGTGTATCATTTTATTTTGCTATTTTTTTTATTAGGGTTGTACAAGGGAGTTCACAAACTAAGGAAAGGGGCAATATTATAAGTTATTCTTTTAATGCTGTAATTTTTATCTATAGGGTTCTGAGGTCGTTGATTATTCAAACGTAAATTACATAACAACGTTTCTTTAAAGCGTTAGTTAGAGTTGATTTCAAGTTAGATAGAAAATGAGTTGTTGTGAGGAGATAAAATCAACTTTAAATAAAAGTCAATAGCAACAGCTTTTGAGTGGATCGTTTAAACACTTTAAATAAAAGCCCACAGATACAGCTATTGAGTGTACCGTTTAAACACTTTAAATAAAAGCCCATAGATACAGCTTTTGAGTGGACTGTTTAAACACTTTAAATAAAAGTCCATAGATATAGCTTTTGAGTGGACTGTTTAAACACTTTAAATAAAAGGCCATAGATACAGCTTTTGAGTGGACTGTTTAAAC